TTAATTTCATTAAAATCCAAATAAGAAGTTCCTACAGAATCACTAATTTGGTGTTTTTGAGATTTGCAATGAAATGGAAAAAATGCTAGTTTGTGAGAAGTTATAATATTTTTCATTATTTGTAATGTTTTGTGCAACTTATGCTTTTGAAACCAAAAGTCCTTTCCACAAGCTACATCAAACAAACCCTATATTACCTTTTTGGCTTAATTCGACAAATCATCTACTAACTTTTTTATGTATTTCAGTTTCGTCTATTATTTTTGGATTCTTCCAATCCTGTCTATTATCTTTCAAATTCATTTCAATTTCATCTAATCTGTTATTTTTAACGAAAATATCCTTATTCTTCAAGAGAACAGTTAGCCCTCTAGCTATATTTGTTTTGGTTTTTTAGTCCTTAATTTTATATTTGCCTTGAAAACAGCTTTTTTTCTTATCTTGCTAATTTTTTTAATTTTTCTAGAGTTGATGCTCTGCATACTTTATAGACATATTTGTCCTATAGTAACTCATCAGTTCTATAGGGTATTATTCCTTCTAGTGCTATACTTTTTGTTATAATGTCAATTTGTTGATCATAAAATTTTATTGACTTTCTTAATTTTATTTTTAAAAACATTATTTTTTTGGCTCTAATACCAAATTTTTTTTGGGGTTTTCGGAACCTAACTCAGACTACAAACTAGCGTGTAGCTGATATGCTAAGTTCAGTAGAATCAGATCTATTAAGCAGCTAGTAGAGATAATCTTTGCTTAGCCTTTTTGAGTCTTTCTAAATTGTCGTTTAAATCTACTGCTGTTCGCTTTAATTTTTTGAGTTTCTTTAAAAGATAGTAATCATCTAGATCTTCAATATTACTTATTTTTTTCTAAAATATTTATTATTTTATTTCTATAATATTCACATTGTTGCTCATAAACCACTTTATCTACAATTATTTCTTGAATGGAGTCAAGCATCGTAAAATATTCTAAATAAGTTTCTAAGATGAACTATTCTATTTGAAATATAACAGGTCAGATACTATTTCCCTATCTAATCTAAGAAATAATAATGTTAAAGAATAATAGGAATATTTCTATGTCCACCTAGCTTTCGCATAAAAAAGAATGAGTTAGAACTATACCTAACAATCTCTTAGTCTAGCCTTTGGTCAAGCAAATGCTTCCTTCGTTCAACCCTTAATGCTGCACTCTGGCTACATAAGTATTCGAACAAGACTATTGACCTCACTGTTGTTTAAGTATCTTTAGTGGTTTTTCTCATTATTTTCTACGATGTAAATCAGGAAGGATAGAAGCACAAGAATTATTCTAAAACATATTTTTATTTCTCAGAAGAAAAAGGGGAAGTTCCCTTTCCTCTTGAATGGTGTTTACATATGCATGGTAAAAGGATTTTCAGGTAAGGTATTTGGATGTTCAAATGTTCGATACTTATTATAGTTTATAGGAGGCTTTTATAGTGCTCCTTAGAATCTTTTCTTTCGTCATTGCTGAAGATTAAAGTTTACATTATTGTCTGGTGATCCAGACTTACTTCTTATTTTTGCTAAAGTAAACTACATGGAATCTTGCAGACACTCTTATTTTTCTTCAGTGACATAAGAGCTCACGTCTTTTTGCATTGGATTCTTCAGAGGATGGTGAGATCCTTTTCACTGTTTGAGGGGGTGGTCCCTTCATCACATGGGCCTTTAGCTTTTCCTTTTGTAGATTCCTTTTTGTAGCAAAAACCACAATGATTATCATGCTTTAACAGCTTACATAGTCTATTATGAACTGCTTTACTAGCTGGGACTAAATTTTCAAAGATTTCCTTTCATTTTTGTTTTATTTTGAACAGGTTGGTGCTTGTCATTAATCTTGCACCAGTGGATACTATTGGGATTTCTTTGGAGAAGCCATATGTCTGTGTCTTCCTCATCTCTATCATTCTGTCAAAGGTTTGGCGTAAAACCTTGAATCTTAGAGCTCGTCTCCCTTGGATGAACTCGATCCCACAAAGAGACTCTTCAAAGTCTTGAAAAATTTTATCTTCATTCACTTCTACCTTGATTTTCTTAGACTTGATTCCAATTTGAACTATATGATGACTGAGGAAATGTTCAGATTTCTCCCATTCTGGTGTTGCAGAATAGATTTTGACAAACACTACCCCTTGAGCTTTGGTGTCAGTTTGAAGTCTTTCACTCCTTGGTGTATAACTTTTGGAAGTTCTAAACTTCTTCATTATCATTTGAGAGATAAATATAGTTTACAAAATCGTAATTGAATAACTCTTTTATTGCTTTTGGGTTTGCACCTTGCATGAAATTAATTCTAGGATAAATCCTTTCATGGATAGGATGGCAATTCTCAGTGGACCTCATTGAATATGCCATTTTACAAACTCTGCGGTATTCCTGCAATTATTCTTCACTCATTGTCATTTTTGATGAGGTGTTTATTATTGTAACTTTCTTTTCTTTCTTTCCTGAGTAATTAGGTCGAAAGCTATGACTTTCGGCATTTTGAATAGTCGGCTTTTTAGCTTGAGACGCTGATATTTTTGAGGGAGAGTATTTGACATAATAGTCAAACTTCCCTGAACTTTCTTCAAGTAATCCCATTGAAGCTTCACCTTGTTCAAAATTTTCTTTTAGCTCTTGTTGGGAGCTTTTCTTTGGAGCTAATTCCGACAGTAGTAATTACTCTGGAACTTATTAATTTTTCTATCAACTCTTTGACTTCTTCAAGGGCATCTTGTCCCTTATTTAATAACTCATGGCCTTTAATAATTTTTTCTTGGTCTTCATCCATAAGGTTATGACCTTCATCAATATTTCTTGGCCTTCAATCATTTTTTCTTGGCCTTCTCTTATTTGGCTATTACCTTCAATGAGTATCTCTTGACCTTTGCGAATAAGGTCTTTCCCTTTATTTTGGAGTTTCAAGATTGCATCTAGCTTCTTCTCTGCTCAAGAAATTTGCAAGACAATTATTAGTTCCTTTGACATGTTCAATTTCAAAATCATATTTAGCAAAGAAAGTTTGTCATCTATTTAGCCTTTTATATTCTGGTGTTAAAGGTAATTTATTAAAAATAAATCCCTTAACTTGAGTATTGTCAGTTTTGACCTTAAAATGTTTTGGTAATAAGAAGAAACTGAACTTTTTTATTTCATTTTTAATAGCCAATAACTCTTTATGATTTGAATGGTATCTAGTTTCAACATCTTTAAATGTACTACTAGCATATCTACAAATTTTTTCTTAAGAATTTTTCAAAGCTGCTCCCTAATAAACATTTGAGGCATCACATTCTAAAATTAATTCTTCATCTTCTTTAGGCAATTGTAGCCTAGGAAGGTTTTTGTAATATTCTTTTATTCTTTTGACATGATTAGTGTGATAAATTTCTCATTGTTGATTTTCCTTTTTCTTGAGCAACCTTTG